GATGGCCGCCTACAGGCTGTGGATGATGTATAAAGGCAACGGAGGACTCACCCCCGAACGCAGCTAAACTGCAAAGTGTCGAATTCCAGAAGATGTGTCCAATCCCGAGGTGATGGTGCTGCCGGAGCCAAAAAGGCCAGTTGTCTTGTTTGCGGTTTTAGGGTCGGGGGGTTTAGAGATCAGCGGTGTGGAGTTCGGAGTTTTTGGCAAGATTCCTATGTACTAAGTCTTGAACCCTAGATCCCAAAGCCTCAACGCAAATCCCTAAACCCTAAACCCTAAACCCAATGCACGAAATCATAGACCAAAAAATTCCCGAAGCCAAGATCTCCGGTTAGGGCTTCGGCGGATTTTCCGTGTTAGCGTCCACATGGCCCGAAAGTTTCCGCCCCAAAACCCTCCTTAGAGGATCGCGGACCGAGGAACCTCGTAAGTAGAGTTACATGTATCATAAGCCCTAGCTTGCACACATTGGTATATATATGTATATATATATGTGTATATATATATGTGTGTGTGTATGTATCTCTCTCTCTCTCTCTCTGTCTCTGTCCCTCTCTCTCTCTCTCTTTTTCTCTCTTTCTCTCTCTCGATCTCTTTCTCTGCCTACTAAGTCCTCTGATCTTTAGCCCCATAGACGCCAAGAGCCATACATGTACATATACACATATATATATGTATGTGTATGTCTATCTCATATATGTATATATATATATGTATGTATGTATGTATGTATACATACGTAGATGTAACATTGTTAAAGTAGCTGTGTACAAGCTTTTCACCGATCCCTACACCCTAAACCCTCCCAAGCCCCAAACCCTAAAACCAAAACAAGGGCCGCCTAAAGCCCAAACCCCAAGCCCCAGATCTTAGGCCCAAACCCCAAGCCCCAGATCTTAGGCCCAAAACCCTAAACCCCAAAGCCCCAAACCCTAAACCCTCAACCCAAAAACCGAAGCCCGAAACCCGAATTCCCAAAGCCCAACCCCAAACCCCAAACCCTAAACCCTCAACTTAAACCCTAAACCCTAAAATCCTAAACCCTAAACCCTGAACCCCAAAACGAAGACGCTTTGGCAGGCCGGACCATGCTCCTCCGCACCTCGCAAGGGCCACCTGGATGTGAAGGAAGTAGGATTTTTAGGGTGCAGGGTTTAGGGTTTTAGGATTTTGGGGTGTAGGGTTTAGGGTTTAGGGTTGACAGGGCTTTGGGTTTAGGGTTTAGGGGTTTATGGTTTAGGGATTTAGGGTTTAGGGTTTTAAATTTTAGGGGTTAGGGTTTAGGGGCTCAGGGTTTAGGGTTTTCGGTTTTGGGACTGTCTTGCTTTCAGAGGGTCTTGTGCCTTTTTTTTGTGTGCGGATTTATACGACTTTATTCTAGGTTTTCGGAGGGGTTCAATCAGTGGTTGTTTCAAGGGACTTGTTCAAGGGTTTCGGTGTTTTAGCTTGTGTTTGATGCCCAGAGGACCCAATACCCCTTATTTAAAGAATATGCCTTGAATTATAGGAGCCTTACCTATTATGGTTTAAGGAATATTTTCCTTAATTTAGGGATATTGGGTTCTCTGGGTGCAGGTTTCAGTGATTTCAGGCTTTGGGTGTTGAGCGCTTGGCGCTTTGGGGGGTTTATGGGGTTCGCGGTGTTCGGTATTCAGAGTTTCAGAGTTTTAGGGTTTAGGGGTTAGGGTTTAGGTTTCGGGGTCTAGGGTTTCGGGTTTCGGTGTTTTGGGTTTAGGGCTTTAGGGCTTTAGGCTTTTAGGGTTTCGGGGTTTAGGGTGAAGCGATTGAGAGGTTTGTTGTGCGATTTTTTTGGGGATTTCAGATCTCAGGGCTGCACGTTTAAGGATGAAAGTTGAGGCCCCAGTGGCCTTGTTACAGTGTCGATCATATTAAGGAACCCTAAAAAAGGTAGGTCCTTTAGGGCCCAGGTAGGGCTTAGGGTTTAAGGATCAGGGTTAAGGGTTTAGGCTTAGGGATTGGGGTTTTGGGTTCTAAGGTTTGTCGGTTTAGGGTGCAGGGTTCGGGGTCAGCAAGGTTCTTGCTGGGAGGGTCGGGAGACTTTGTAACTAGTCGTTTTCAAGTTTTGTCTAGAGCTGCAAGCATCATCACGCCAGTTGGGATCCCTGTCTGGGTGCTTCTAACTCTCTCGTATTACCTACTTACTATACCCCTCGACTCCAAATAGTATGTTTGAGGGCAACATAGTCAAGGGATATCGGGTTCTGGCTCTCCACTGTGTGTGTCAAAGGGTTTCGGTTTCAGGGCTTGGGATTCTAAGCTATGCCGTACTTGTCTGTAGGTCCTCATTATAAACCCTAGTATGGCCCAAACCCTGAACCCTTCACCCTAAACTTTAAACCCTAAACCCTAAGCCTGAAACCCCAAACCGTAGGTTTTGGTAGGTTAAGGCGGGGTTTAAGGTTTAGTGTTCGGGGTTGGGGAGCCAGGCTCAATGAGATTGAGCCCTAAACTAAACCCGAAGTTCAGGGTTTAGGGTTTAGGGTTTAGGGTTTCATAGCTGAAGGCAGAAGTACAGATATCCGTCGACTATCCTGTGTTCCGATTAGGTCCACAGCTTCCCAAGTAGGACAGCCCAACGTGAGCCAACGCCCCTAAACCCTAAACCATACGCACACTAAACCCTACACCCTAAACCCTAAATCCTACACACTGAACCCTAAGCCCTAAAACCTAAGCCCTAAACCCTAGACCCTAAACCTTATAGATCCCTTTAAAGGAACCCTTATAGATCCCTTTAAACCCCACACCGCCCACTTCGCCAGGGAAGAAGCGCTAGCAGCACTCTGGCAGCGAGCCTCTCCACCTAGCGCTTGAGCAGGGGCTGGGGAGCTGGCGTTAAGGCTCTTTGGGGGTTTAGGGTGGCTGAAAGGCTCTTTGGGGTTTAGGGTGGTTTAAGGCTTTTTGGGGTTTAGGGTTTNNTTAGGGGTTGGGGGGGGGGGGGGTTTGGGTTTAAAACTTCTTGGGGTTTGTAACACCCATCTAAAGGGTCTAGGGTGCAGGGTTATCGGGTGTATTTCAGTATACACTTCTAAAGGGACCACAAAGTGGTGAAGTTCCAAGCTAGTCAGACCTCTATAATAGGGGCTCTTACTACCCTAAACCCTAAGCCCTAAACCCTTGACCTCGGACCCGGCGGCGATTTTTTGGCTGAGGCAGCGCCGCGCTTAACGGCCCACTGGCCCGCCTAGAGGGTAGTCAGGGGGTCGAAGCCTGTTCTAGTTGTCAAGGCCCTTAAACGCTAAACCCTAAAACTTAAACCCTATAAACCCTAAACCCTAAACCCTATAAACCCTAAACGCTAAACCCATGGCTACGCCGTTTACTCTCAAGGTTCCTCCTAGGTTTTAGGGTTGCCCCTCGTCCTTCTTCAGGCCCTCGCGAATCTCGGGAGGTGCGCCGGCTCTTCTTCTTCTTCCTCGTGGACTCCGCTGTTCTGTGGAGGCTGGCTTTTGCTGGTTCGGGGTGCTCTCTCGGGATCTTTGTGGCCAGTCTGACCTGTACATTGGGGTGTTGGTCCGATGGACGGGGTCGTTGCTGTGGGTTCGCCGACTGAGATCATAGGCAACGAGACTGACGAGGAGCTTCTGTCTGAGGGTGATAAAAGGGATGCCAAACAGGAGGAGGAGGCGGGGCTGGGCTGGACGGGAGGAGAGCATGAACAGCACAGTGTGATGAATGTGGACGCCACTGGGGGTAGTCCGTCTCGTGCCAAACGCAATCGTGACAATGATCCTGGGGGTGATCATCGAGACCGCCATCGCCGTGCGGATGCTCGTCTACGTGATCCACTGGAAGAACAGCGGGGTGATCTTCTTGATGGTGGGGATAAGCCTGTCACTTCCGGGGAGATTAAGAAGTTGCTGGAGATGCACCTTGGCCCGATTGCTGCATCATGGAATGAGATGACGGGCAAGATTAAGCAACTCGAGCAAGATGCAGCAAAGGACAGGGACGAAAGAGGAAAGCTCCATAGCAGGGTTGTTCAGTCCGAGAAGAAACAGCACACCATCGAGAACAAGGTCACTGAGCTCGCCCAGGAGGTTGCCATCCTCAAGCAGAAACAAGATGAGCCTAAAGGACAGGGAGGTGACCCGTGGGCGGAATATCGTGCAAAACATGGACCTGCACCTGGGATGGCCCTTCATGCTACGACCAATCCGTCCTCCTCGCATGGTGGTGATCATGGGGGTGGTTCTGCTGGTGACCTTTCTGAAGAAGATCGTCGCACACTGGTGATTGGGGGGTGGGCACAAGATAGCAAACGCCAGGTCATCCTTGACGAGAGTGCAGCATTCCTCAACAGGGACGGCATCAAACATCATCTCGACCAGAAGGAGCTCACGGTTTGGGGACCGAGAAGATCCTTTGGGGTGTTGAAGTTCCAACAAAGGGACGGAGAGAGTCTCAAGGAAGTTCGGGACAGGATGTGGGCTGTGATCCAGTCTGCGCGAGGCCAACCCCATCTCCTTCCGTCTACTGGGGCGTATGGGGAAACCAAAAAGCTATGGTGCAGCTTCACGAAGACAAGAGAGGCCAGGAGGAGAAGCAGCCACAGCTCGATGATTCGTCGTGTTTGCGTCGGGATGGTCACTGATGCCGAGGCCAACAAGGAAGCACACAACATCCAGGCCAAGCAAGAAGGGGCGTACGAAGTCGACTGCGGATCTGGCACAGTGTGGCTTGGGGAGTGGAAGCTTGGGTCGGCCGCTCACAGACAACCTCGTGGCAACGACATCAAGATGATGACCTCGGGGTGGATCGACTTCAACGCCGTGACCCTCGCTACAGGTGTCGCTCATGATGTCGCTTTGGCGGCGTTTGAGCGCGAGTTGTGACAAACGGCTGGTTTCACCGACAGCCATGATGATCGGGACGTTCAAGATGTACCTGGTCGTCGTGATGAACCTCTACCTGCACCACAACATGTTAAACATGCTGTGCGAAAATTTGGGTCGTGGAATGTTGCTGGTCAGCCCATGTCGAAGATCGATACGGTTGCTGGGTCGTTTGATTTACTTTGTCTACAAGAAGTTTCACGAGGAAAAGAAGGTTGGGATGAGCATGAGACTGATTGTTTCATGTGGTTCACTCATCAAGATCCGAGTCAATGGCGTGGGGTTGGCATTGGGATTGCGCGAGCATTGTTCGACTCTATCACGGACAAGACTGCGTGCAGGCGTGGTGCAGCTTGGGTTGTCCGCCTCAAGAATCACAGAAGAGTCATCTTGTGCTCTTTACACTGTCCTACCGGGGTGACCGTCGGGCAATATCACCAGGATGTTCAAGATTTTCGCAGGGCTCTACGGAAGTGGCATCCTGAACTACCCATGGTGGCGGGCATCGACGTGAATGAGGTCGTTGGGTGGAACTCGGACGAGTCGGATGGGGCGTGCATGCGCAGTGGGGCGAAACTGGACAAGCTCCTTGAAGTCACCTCCGGGATGCACTTACGTCCTGTCCCTCCTCGTCGGGAGGATCGGTCTCTACCCACCCATTATCCCCGGGATGAGTCCAGGGAGGGTCGCCACATTGACGCCATCTTCGTTCGCATGATGGGAGGTGGACAAGTTTGTGTCAAGCCTGACATGCGCCTTGAGATCAACACCGATCATGCGCTCCTGGAGATGTACCTGGAGATACACAAGACGAGGCCAGCTGTGTGGGTTGACAGCCGTCCTCGATGGGTTGCGACAGACACGCCCTTGCCTCTGGTCCGTGACTTCGGGGATGTTCAACAACTTGCCCATCAAGCATGTCAGCCGAGACGACGAAAAGATTACCGAGACGACGATGAGATGAGACAACTCATTTGGGATGCCAAGCACACCAGTCGAGAAAATAAGAAGGCCCAATGGAAGCGAGTGCACCGGATGCGGAGGAAGAAAAAGAGAGAGTGGCAGCAGCAGCGACTTAGCAATATCCTATATGGCAACTGGGGGGGAGTATCGAGACTACAAGAACTCTCTTCGGAAAAGGAGCTGGTGGGGTGACATCCTCTCTGGCAAGTCGAGCGCCGAGGTTGCCAATGATGTGCAACAGAACCTGACCGATAAGTTCTGGGATGTGGCTCGCAACTGGGATGAAGATTTGCAGCTCCGCATCCAAAACCTCCAGTTGAGACCATCAGCCCTGACCCCTGTGACGCCCGCTGAAGTCTCCTCAGCTCTCAGTGGGATGAAAGCACGCTCAGCCGTGGGAGAAGACCGTGTTTGCGTTGATCTTCTGAGGCGCCTGGCCTTCGAACAGTCTGAGCAACTCTGTGGGATGTGCACTGAGGTCCTCGAGGGTGGCGTTCTCCCGGAACCCTGGGGCGTCTCGCTCCTTGCCTTGCTGCCGAAATGTCAGAGTCCATCTACGCCATCAGACCTTCGACCGATCGCCATGGGGAGCGCAGCAATGAAGATGATGTCGCGCATTGTCATGGGACGCACCTTTGACAAACTCCGTGAACCTTGCTGTCACGCCTCCTCGGGTAAGAGTCGTCAACCTGCCGATCTCATTGGCACCTTCACCAGGCTGAGGGATGTTACGAGAGAATGGCGTGCTGGGGTGATCGCTGCAAAGCTTGATGTCAAAGGGGCGTTCGACTACATCGACCGTGGCAAAGTCGCTGATTTTCTTCAGGCCCGCCTCAGGGATGAGCAAGACCAACACTCGCTTCGCTTCTGGCTTCTTTTGCTGGCTGAGAATTCGATGAAGGGCAGCGCGCCGGGAGGAAAGCCAGTGCAAATCGCCGCTAACCGCGGAATACGCCAAGGAAGTCCAGAGTCAGCCGAGCTCTTTGGGATGATCATCGCCTGTGAGCTACAGAAAACCAGGAATGCCAAGTCGTGGGCTGCGCCTGGGGGTGCCATCGACGACGTTCCCATCGATGTCGGCTGCTTCCAAGATGACATCTTTATTTGGAGTGATAGTGGGGAGCGCCTTGAGCGCAACATCGCAAGGATCGCGGAGATGCTGCGCGCGCTTGGGTTGTCCTTATCGGCCAAAAAGACGTGCGTTGTCGTCAACCAGTACTACCAAGGGAAGCGCAAGATCAAAGTCGATGGTGAGACTGTCGAGATTGCCAAGCCAGGGACATGCATTCGTGTCCTCGGGGTGGACTTTGACTTCGATGCAGGGACGAGCCAACAGTGCCGAGAAATGATGGGACGTATATGGGACGCCTTCTACGCCAACAAACCCATTCTCTGCGGACATGGAAGCTGGGGTGCCAACCCAAACCCTCCAAGATTGATTT